GGAGACAGAGAAAATGCAAGTTCATTTCATCTTATTGTTCTATCATTATATACAAATGAGCAAAAAATATCACTATTATAGCATCAACAAAAAATCAAGTGATTCAATTCAACATAAAACTTTTGGTGAAATCGATAAAACGCAAATTTACTTACAACTGATGCATTAAAAAGTCGGGCTCCATCAATGTGAAGCATCACTCCATGCTTCTTAGCAACCTCTCCAACTCTATCAGTATATTCAACAGTGAGATCTTCCACCCGAGCTGCATCGAGAAAGTATATCATCCATAATTCATTAAAAAAATTCATATACAACGCAGAAAACGGAACAACAAAAATCACTCACTTTGCATGACTGTTTTCCAAGCAAATAAGCCTAGTGCTCGGAAACATTAGCTCCCCCCTCAGATCTCTAATAGCAGACTCAATTAAATCAATGTCGATTTTCCATCATTGTTATTTTTAAGCTGTCTCGAATGCACTCCTTCAATGGTCGAAATACCATCATTCTCGTAAATATTGATATGACAAGTGTCTCCGAGAATAACTTCACTTCCCCTAACCTCACAATGAACAAGTACAGCGATAAGGTTGCCCATAGTCCCTGATGGAACAAAAAGAGCTGCCTCCTTTCCCATTAACTTCGCAATCTCGATCTCTAAGAGTAAAGTCGTTGGATCATAGCCAATAACAACAATTGATTTAAACCTAGGAATTGAAAAGGGAAAAATAATAACATGATGAGAAATGAATTATTCACCTTGTGATAGAGGGCTTTCTAGGAATTATCATCATTAGCAGCCTTCCGCATCAAAGAATTAGTCATCGAAAGACAAAACAAACTCGGATAATACAAATAACTAAGCGTGTGCATCGTAATCTCAGGAACAAGCTACTCCATCATAGAACAACCATTTTGAGGATCCGCCAACATAATCGACGCATGAGAAGGACTGGTTTCCATCATTTTCGCAACACTTTTGTTCAAATAAGGCACAAAATCTTGAGAATCAGACACTACAACATTTGTTGTCTCTGGCAACACTTTTTTAGGTAACATGTAAAAATTGTTGTCTAAAATTCGTATAGGCAACGATTTATGGTTGTTGACAAAAATAAATTTGCAACCCTTGATAATCGTTGCCTAAAATACTTTTTGGGATGTTTTTGGAGCGTCACTCTTTTATTTTTTTGGCAACTATTGTTAATTGTGCCCTTAACTATTTTTGGGGACGATTTTGGAGCGTTATTATACTATTTCTTTATCAATGTTTGATAATTGTCCCCTTAAATACTTTTGAGTACATTTTTAGATTGTTACATTAGTTCTTATAAAAAGCTACATTCCTTCAATGTTGCATAAAATTTTAGACACATCAAATTTTTGGTGCCAATTTTCCCTCCAAACGTATAAACTAAAAACATATATTTCCCTCTAAACATTATTAAAAAAAATTTAAATATAAAAAATCATTTAATACTTAATATAATAATATATTATGCAAAAACTATATACATATCATTCCAAAAAAAAAAGTTAAACATATCAACCCATTACTCCTCTTTATATCCATATTTCATAATAACATATATATAAAAATTTGAAAAAAGAAAAAAGAAAAAAAATTGAAAAGGAAAACGTGATGAGGTTCTCCTAACTTTCTTCAAACATCCCACCACCGATCTCATCCAAAATCCGCCGTCTTCTCTCACTACTACCAAACCAGCAACCACCTCGACGAATTTCCCAAATCTTCAACAGTACGTTGACGATGACACCTTTCGTTTTGGCATCTTACCTCTTTCTCTCGTTGTAACCGCTCACTGTAATCCCGCTCATCGCACCACCTTTGAGTCCATCGACATCACCATCCTTTCTTCCAACGATGACGTATTCAATTTCATCCCTTTTACTCTTTATTATATCTGCGTTTTAATTTTATAGTTTTCTGATTGATTCTCTCTAGATCCTTCGTGCGAGCAATTTTGTTGTTTTCTCAGTTAAACCTCAATAAGGTACTTCCTTGATTTCAGTGTGGTTTAAGAAAGAAACTTCGTAATTTTATTGAATAGCTTTGTTGTTTTTGTTGTAGAAAAGGACGTTGTGTTGAAATTGAAGTCACTTCTGACTAAGGAGAAGCTTTTGGTTTTGTTGCTGCTAGAACCAAGTTGAAAGGTCTTTAGGTAATGAAATTCAGTCCTTGTTCACCTTCATTTCTGAATCTAGAGTCTAAATCATTAATATCATTATTAGATATGGTGTCGACGTGGTGTTTTCGATTTATGTATTCTACAGTTTATACATATTACATATAGTCTATTTGTTGGAAATAATTTATGACATTGTAGAGAATACAATAAAAACATGAATGCTTCATTCATTTTAGCTTATATATATTGGGAGAAATATATGGATTTGGGGTAAATTTTACTTAGACTAAAGTGTGATACTAGGATAATTTTAATTTTGTTTTTACTCAACTGTTTTTGGAGTAGAATCAAAAGGTGTTAAGTTGTTTCCGCCGCCGATTTGCGGACATGTTTTCTGTAAATTGGCTGCAAAATAGGTGTCTATGTTGGTGGAAAGTCGAAATAGTATCTTACATACCTTCCAGTAAGAAATTGAAATAGTATCCTACATAAAATAGGCTGTGAAAGTAACAGAGTTTCTTATGTTCAGTTTTCTGACAAACTTACATACCCTAAGAAATTGAAATAGTATCCTACATAAAATAGGCTGTGAAAGTAACAGAGTGTCTTGTGTTCAGTTTTCTGACAAACTTACATACACGGATAAGAATTCTGCTGAGATTTGTAATGGAGGAACATCTTCTATAGATAACCAATGCCAGAAAGAATTAGTAGCAACAGTCATGGAGGCAGATAATAAATGTGATCACCCAACTGGACCACCTATTGAATCATTTGCTTGTAATCAAGAAGTGCCTGCAGGAAGTACAGACAATATGATTGAAGATGATTTTCAGGATAATCATTCAGAAAAGTCCATGGTTGTGTCTCGTAGGAGACCTAGGAAGGTGCGTATGATGACTGACTTGTTGCGTGAAAATGTTGAATTAAAGACGGAAAAAACTTCCATACAAGAATCCCCAATCTATGGCACTTCCAATAATTTTGCAGCTTCACAGGCACACTCAAATTTCCCAGGAAAGGTGGATTTTCAAGGAGATATGACTTTAAAATTTGGGTCAAAGTAGAAAAAGGAAAATTGTCCTAGATGAAATACGGAGTACGGAAAGTATGCATTTTCAGAGGGATGGATTTGAAGCTCAAAATTTAGAGGGGAATGCAAAAACAACTGTTATGCTTTTCAATAAGAAATCCAATTCCAAAGGTGTACTAGCAGGAACAGGTTCACAGGTTGCTGAGAAAGGCAACTGGAGTAAATCTGAACCCGAAAGAAGCCATATTGTGGGCAAGAAGAAGAACAAAAGGAATCAAGTTGTAGACAATTACTTGATTCCTGAGCGACAAGGACAGAGAAGACAAAATGAGGACACTGTGTATACTACAGATAAGGCATATGGATCTAAAACTGTTTCTTCTAGACTAACTCCTTCCGTGTTTACAAAGAATGAATAAAAGTCATAGTCGTACCTGATAGTATTATTTCTTTGCGAGATATATAGAATATGAGATTCAACCTTAAATCATCACATTTTTGTTTTTTTTTGGCCCGTATCTATTTGGGTACGCGTTATCACTGAAAAATAGTCTTTAAAAGAAAGCAACAATAGTCAAAAACAGAATAATCACAACATCAATGCACATTGTCTGATATGATTGTTGTGATTATACCTCTTGCAGTGTTATCTAGCAGCTACCATTAGGTGCCTTTGTCATCCAAGTGCACACGTCTGCACTCGTAGCATCTCAGTTCTTTGCGATATTTTACATACTGGCTCAATCAGGTGTAGTCCTAAACCACTGCGAATTAACGGCAACCGCAACCCCTCTTATCCATACTTCAAGTTGGACATTGTTGATTGGCAAGCTGACATAGAAAAATGCTTGACATGTGAAGCTCACAACACAATTTCAGCTAGATTGCCTACTAAGTTTCTAGACACTGCTGCCAAAGATTAGGCTGTGCTATTTCCATATGAAATGGAAATGAAACCATTTTAGTCTATGACCATTTTTCACTAGACTTATAGAGAAATTATTTATGATTTTGGAATTAACGGGTCATTCAGTTAGTCATCATAAATTGCAGTCGTGATTCTAGTTTGTTTATAGAAAGCTCATTTTGTTTTATGTATGTGCTTTAATTAGACACTAAGCAAATGTTCTGCATGAACTTTCTAATGACTGCTTTTAATATATTGTAAAGACAAATGTAACCAGTTTTATTTTTATCCTCGTCTTATTTTTCTTATCCAAAAGTAAAAGAAACACAACAGGGAGTGGAAATATCTATAACAGTAAGCAACCAGGAAATCAAAAGGGAAAAAATTAAATTACCTCTAAAAAGTAACATATAATTCATTAAAAATTAACATATAATTCATTAATAAAATTAATACTTATAGGTTCTGTACAATTTGAAGATGATTTAGATAGCTCAAGTGATGTCTTCATCAATGAGTTGGTGACTTTACTTTGTAGTATTAACTGTCAATTCAACAATATATAATATTTTAAACACATATATCCGCAATAGTTTTAAACACATATATAATATATAACACATATATAACATTTCAATTCATGATAATATTTTAAGTGATAATACTTTTAAACACATATATAATAGGCAAATTACTTGTTAGAGTTGTCCAACATATATAATACTTCAACTCATGATAATATTTTAAGTGATAACTTTTTTTTATGATATTTTTTTCTAAACACCTTTAGTTAATAATTTTTTATTTATTTATGATATAGTCATGATGAACACTTCTATTATGTTTTGAAGTATACCCGTATAGACTTATAGTAATATATAATTTATTTCATTTTAGAAAACTAAACATGATAAAGAAGGATTGGGTGGAGTTGCCTCCACACAGTCAAGATTATAAGGATGGTGTCAATTACTTTTTGGATATTGCGTTTACTAAAGGAATGGTTGAAGAAGAAGAGATTTTGTGTCCTTGTGCTGTATGTTGTAATGATAGTTGGGAAGTAAGAGATGTAGTGTATGACCATTTATGTAGCAAAGGATTTGTAACGGGATACACTGAATGGATTTATCATGGTGAAGATGAAAGCCTTATGGATCTTGATGACGATAGTGATAATGAAACATCATCTCATGATGATATCGATGGCTTGCTATTTGAAACATTTAAAGATGTGGCTGAAGGAGGTGGAGTACATGAAGGTCTAAATGAAGATGCATAGAAATTTTATAAACTAGTTGATGATGCAAAGCAAGAGTTGTATCCTGGTTATGAAACGTTTTCCTCGTTATCATTCACTATTCGAATTTATTTGTTGAAATATCTCCATGGATGGAGCAATGCATCGTTCACTGCTCTCTTAGAGTTGTTGAAAGAGGCTATGCCTGATTTGAACATCCCTGTCTCTTTCAATAAAACAAAATCTATGATTAAAGATTTGGGCTTAGACTATAAAAAGATATATGCATGTCCCAACAATTGCATGTTATTTTGGAAAGATCATGGGAAAGATGATTCATGTCATATTTGTGGAGCATCAAGGTGGATTGAATATCCTGAAGTTGCTAATGATCTTGAAGAATCTATAAAAGCTCACAAGGTTTCCGCCAAAGTTCTAAGACATTTTCCTTTGATTCAAAGATTGAAAAGACTTTTTATGTGTTCAAAGACAGCCGACACATTGAGGTGGCATGCAGACCATCGTTCAAGGGATGGGAAGTTAAGGCATCCGGCCGATGCACAAGCATGGAAAGACTTTGATGCCAAACGTTCAGATTTTTCTCTTGAAACTCGTAACATTAGACTTGGGTTGGCAAGTGATGTGTTTAATCCATTTAGGACTATGAGTTTGTCACATAGCACATGGCCTATTGTATTAACAATATATAACTATCCGCCAAATTTGTGCATGAAGGCTGAAAATTGTTTAATGTCGTTACTTATTCCTGGACCAAAGTCACCCGGAAATGAAATTGATGTGTATTTGCAGCCACTTATTGAGGAGCTTAAGATATTGTGGGATATCGGTGTAGAAACATATGATATATCAAAAAATCAATCATTTCAAATGCGTGCATCTCTTATGTGGACTGTGAATGACTTCCCTGCATATGCTATGTTATCCGGTTGGAGCACTAAAGGGAAGTTTGGTTGCCCTGCTTGTAATCATAAAACTTCTTCAAGATACTTAAAACATAGTCGAAAGATGTGTTATATGGGTCATCGAGTCTTTTTGGATTCAAATCATAGTTGGAGATCAAATTCAAGTTCTTTTGATGGAAAGCCAGAATATAGGTTTGCACCCTCCTTGTTAGATTCAACAATGATTTTAAAAGACTTAGAAAATATCCCTGACATAGTGGGGCAAAAATATCAGAAAAAAAGGCCTGGTCCCTGGAAGAAAAAGTCTATCTTTTGGCAATTACCATATTGGAAGGATAATTCTTTGCGACATAATGTAGATGTTATGCATGTAGAAAAGAACATTTGTGATAATATAATGGGGACTCTCTTGGAGATTGAAGGGAAGAAAAAGGATCATGCAAAAGCTCGTTTGGACCTACAACACATGGGGATTAGAAAAAACTCCATTTGAAGGCAACGAGTGATGGTAAGAAAACCCAAATCCCTAAGGCATGTTTCACCCTAACAAAGCAAGAGAAATCTATTTTTTGTAATGTTTTAAAGACAGTAAAACTTCCTGATGGCCTTGCATCTAATATTTCTCGATGTGTTCAAGTTAATGAAGGAAAAGTTTCTGGATACAAGAGTCATGATGCTCATATTATATTGCATTACTTGTTGCAAGTAGCAATAAAAGGGATAGCCCCTAATCAAGTTGTTATCCCTTTGCTCCGACTTTGTTCATTTTTTCGGTGTTTATGCCAGAAGGTTATAGATGTGAAAACTTTGGATTACTTGGAAGTTGAAATTGCTGAGACACTTTGCCAATTCGAGCGTATCTTCCCTCCAAGTTTCTTTGACATAATGGTTCACTTGCCAATTCACCTTGCAAATGAAGTCAGATTAGGTGGACCGGTTCAATTTTGATGGATGTATTATATGGAAAGATATTTGGGTGATTTAAAATCTTTTGTTCGTAATAGGAGTCGTCCAGAGGGTTCTATCGCTGAAGCATACTTGGTTAAAGAATCTCTAACATTTTGTTCAAGATATTTGTCTAGTGCTTTAGACACAAGGATGAATAGAATGACACGAAATAGCGATGATACTCCAAACATAGGTCATCCAATTGGGGGAAAGAAACTGATTTCCCTTGATAAAAAGTCTCTAAACCAAGCTCACGGGTACATTTTATTCAATTGTGATGAAGTGCAAGAATACATTAGGTATAATCATCTATTTGATACAACATTTCATTTTGCAATAAGTTTTCTTTTTCTTTTGTATTGAAAAATTAGTTATTTATTTTGTAGAGAGCATGAGGTTAATGTTCATAATCTTTAAAAAAAAAGGAAGCCCAGAAAAGCTAACAATCAAAGAGAAGATTTTATTCAATGGTTTGAAACACGTGTCAGAGAAGAGGAAGTTACCGAATGGTTGAAGGTGTTGTCTAGGGGACCAAATTATGTTGTTAGAAGGTATTCTGGTTATGTTATTAATGGATACATGTTTCATACAACAAACGTGAAGCAAGGCTTAAAACACAAAATAGTGGTGTGACATTAGAAGCCGTGACTCAAGTTATTAGAAATGCAAAGGATGAAAATCCCAAAAAGATTGTGTGACTTACTATGGGGCAGTAAAAGATATTATAGAGTTAGATTATTATGGTCATGAAAAATATGTATTGTTCAAATGTGATTGGTTTGTGGATGAAAAGGATAAATATGGACCGCCGTTCGTTTACTTCAACAAAAAATGCTACAAAAATGATCCATTTGTGTTGGCATCTCAAGTTCAACATTGCTTCTTTATTGAAGATCCTTTAAACAAGAACAAACACTATGTTCTAAATGCACTTCCAAGGGAATCGTTTGACATGGGAGAATGTTTGGGTTCAGATGCTCAAGAATATGATATTTCAACAAATCTTGATACATTAAAGGATGATTGTGAAGTGGATTTGGTTAGGAAAGACGTGTCGGATGATATCTTTAAAATTCCTTTGTCAGAAATTCACAACCAAAAATCAATAGAGAGTGATCATAGTGACACAAGTTATGAAAGTGACGATGAAATCGATTATGATTCTAGTACTGATTAGGTAACGTTCACAATGTGTTCTACCATTTTGTTGATGAATATTGTTTATTATGTCTTTCTATGGTCTTAGTTTATATCATACTTTACAAATATTTGTACTGAGATATGCCCTTTTGTTAATAGATTGTGTTTGAACATTAATTATGTTGTATAATTATGTAATTTTCCCCTTTGTAGTTCATAGTTGCTAGCCATAATGGACAATGTAAGAAGTGTAAAAGATGGTGTATCGCATAGGAAGAGTGGTCGAAGTCCAACTAAAAGATTTGATTTTCCTCTTCTAGCAAGATCAAGTGCAGAATTGAAAAAGAAAGTACTAAAGCAAGTTAAGAAGGAAAAAATTGACAAGTTGCATGAGATGCTGCAGGGAAACAATAGAGAAAGGGTCCAAGAAGTTGTAGAAGTTATGGATGGTAAATCATATTCTTGTTTCATAAGATTTTATAGAATTACGTATGTAAAATTTGTGTTTTGGATTTCCTTTAGATATATTATTCCTAATGTTTTTTTTAATGAATTTTTACAAAAATTAGAAACGCCAAAAAAAGGAACTCAACAAGAAAGAGTTCAAAAGATTGACCGCAATTTCGACAAAGAGACTGTTACAAAGAAAATGGAGAGAGAAAACTCTCGCAACCAAAAGTAATGAAAGACCATGCACATGGTGACAAAGAAGTTATACAAGGTAAGTAATTGTTTATTATGTATATATTATGTTAAATTATTTCAAATATATTTTGATGAATTTTAACTAAAATTAGAAACACCAAAGAAAAGAACTCATGAAAAAGATACAATAAATAGAGAAAGAGTTCAAAAGGTTGATGGCAAAACAGAGAGACCTAAGCTTTTGCAACCACAAGCTAAGGAAGTTTTTACACATGGGAACAAAGAAGTTTCACAAGGTAATTAATGTCTTTACATATACATTAAATTTATATATTCTTTTTATGACATTATTTTGATGAGAAAATTACATTAAAATTAGGAACGCTGAAAAAAAGAACTCATGAGAATCTACTAGAGAATAATAGAGACAAAATTCAGAAGGTGGAAAAAACAGTTACAAGGAAAATACTTATTCCTTCCAAAAATAAGAAACTAGAGAAATATAATCTATCTTTAGAGACAATGGTGTCAAAAACTGAATGCTCTAAAAAGGAAAAGAGAGTGTCAAAATGCCCATCAATGTTGATTGATGATTATGTAGAACTTCACAAGTCAAAGGAAATGGATGCAACCAAGTCAAATAATGGAGAAAAACCGGGCTGCAACGTTAACCCAATCTCTAGTCAAAATCAACCAAAAAAAGGAACTCAACAAGAAAGTGTTCAAAATTGGGCAGAAGTCAATGAAGAAGAGGCAAACACAAATAGAGAAGAAGAAAAAGGTAATTAGTTTCGTATTTCATAGTAATTATTTCATACATTATTTACATATTGGTAGCAAACATGTGATATCATGTTGTTGTGTTGATTACTTTATAGGAACATCCCAAAGAAAAACTCGTGGGAAAACATTGTGCAAAAAGATTCATGCAGGAACTTTGGAAGAACGAGCTGAAGTAACCTTTAATAAGGATGGTCAACCAATTGGTCCTAGTGATAAAGTAGTATCTGATTTGAGCCTCTTCTTGGGAACATTGGCTAGGAACTCAACATTTTGTCCTCTACGTTATACCAATTGGTCAGGAATGACAGATGATAATAAAAAACGTTTTTGGAGATATACTAAGTATGTGTGTATATATGAATTTGAATGTCTAATTGTTCAAAAAAATGTTTTATTTTTTGATCTTGTTTTATCTTATAAATTTTGTAGCGGAAGTTTATCTTGCCGATTGAAGCACAAGATTGGGTTGAGACCACTGTTAGAGATGCATGGAGAAGATATAAGCATAAAATTAAGAAGAATCATTTTTTGAAGTACTCAAACATGTCTGAGAGACTCAAAAATCGTCCACTAAAGGTGCCCATAGCTCAGTTTAAAAGTCTT